TCATACATTTTTTGTTCTTAAGAATTTACAACACACATATTAAACAATTGTTTGTTTACAAGAATAATTTTATATTAACATTCTAAAGTCTAATAGAATTAAAACTAATGTAATTTGTGAAGAAATAAATATGAAAACAATATTTTATTCATAAAACATTTACTAAATTATTAAAAAAAGGCGAACCAACTATAAGGAAATCCTTATTGTTTACCATTTTATAAAGTTCGAATTAATTGTCGATTAGCCGATGATTTGCCAACCATTCCAATAAACAATTTAATAAATAAATAGTGTTTAATATTTTTGGTAAATTTTTTCAAGAACAAAGAAAATGTAATTCACTTTCATCATATGTTTAGTTATTATTATAATTCTAATAATCGCTTTTTAAAAACAATAAACATTGCCGAGGAGTGTGAATAATAGCGGTGACAGTTGTAACATTGATTTATTTTAATAGGTGGGGAGTTATTTTTTAACAATATTTAGTGTTTGATTTTTTATTCAAAGCTATATTTGACATTTTTTAGATTTTAAATTCATCTCGAAATTTGACATGGATTCCAGTAGATATGAAAAAAAATTAAAAAGTAATGAGGAGTAATGTATTGAAAATTATTATTATTAAAAAAGTTCTGTAAAAATATACATTTTCCCATTATGTTAAATATTTAATAACAGAATCCCAGTGATGTACATTTTTTTTTTTTTTTAGAATAAAGAATTTTCAGGAATATGAAAGTTTTTATGCACTGCGTTACACAGTTTGAAAGTTATCCTTGGTTTGGTTTGGTTTGGTTTAGTTTGGTTTGGCTTGGTTTGGTTTGGCTTGGTTTGGTTTGGTTTACATTATATCAATCTCAACGGGTCATTTAATGCCCATTTTTATTGCTAGTAATAATTTTTCTAAAAAAGTATTGCTGGTATTAAAACCTATTTTTATACTTTCATAGTGTTTTGACCCCTTTTAGAGACTTAACTATTATATATTATTAACTATTATATATTATACCTGGTATCCTGACAGGTCCTACCATCCCGAGTCAGGGTGGACCTGGGAACATCAGCAATTAAGAGGTGGTTCCATGCTCCTCAAAACCTCCTGATTAAAGCCTTGCTGTCGGATGTAGTTTATCGTCTTACCCAGGATGCGGATGTAGTTTATCGTCATGCTCAGGACAGAAAGTTGTCCTTCGTCCCTGATTAGATGTCAGTGTTATTAAAATAACGTGTATTTTTCATCTTATTTCTCTTACTTCTCGAGCTTTTTATCGCAACTCCCAAATTGTTAAGTAGTATTAGATGTAATAGTAATCGACTTTCTTAGATGAAGCATTATCTATTATTATTAATCCTTTACTAGTATTTCTTTCATCTTATCTCATGCCCCTTTACAACTAGTAGTTATAATGTGGACTAGTTTTAAGTTGTCTGGATTTTGAAGATGAAGCATTGCTAATCATTATTTATTTTTGAGTAGTATTTCTTATCTGTTTGTAATGAGAGAAATATATCTTGTAAGTTGAGCATTATAATATTATAATTATTATTATATTATTATTATTATTATTATTATCTATATTCATAAATTAATATAGATTAATAATTAATGTTAATAAATTAATACGAGCCAAAAATGAATGATTTTTGACAATGCTTCATTTACAAAATTCAAACAACTTAAAACTACACTATTTGGACTATTGTCCTCATCTTTGTTGCCATATTTATCACAACGTTTCGGCCATTGTCCTTCATTTACAAAATTCAGACAACTTAAAACTACACTATTTACACTATTTGGACTGTTGTCCTCATCTTTATTGCCATATTTATCACAACGTTTCGGCTGTTGTACGCTCCGGCCTTCTTCAGGTGGTTAGAATGTCGAACTGAACCCTTTATTTCGATCGCTGGGGTAGACTGTTCTAGTTCTGTGTGACATGTATAACGGATGTCAGTTATCAGAAGAAGGCCGAAGCGTACAATGGCCGAAACGTTGTGATAAGTATGGCAACAAAGATGAGGACAATAGTCCAAATAGTGTAAATAGTGTACATAATACCTCATCCCAGAAATATAGACAGATCTACCCAAGCGAGCGAAATAAAGGGTTCCATTCGACATTCCAACCACATGAAGAAGGCCGGGACGTACAACGGCCGAAACGTTGTGATAAATATAGCAACAAAGATGAGGACAATAGTCCAAATAATGTAAATAGTGTAAATAATACCTCATCTCAGAAATATAGACAAATCTACCCCAGCGAGCGAAATAAAGGGTTCAGTTCGATACTCCAACCACCTGAAGAATGCCGGGACGTACAACGGCCAAAACGTTGTAATTAATATAGCAACAAAGATGAGGACAATAGTCCGAATAATGTAAATAATGTACATAATACCTCATCTCAGAAATATAGACAGAAACTTAAAACTAGTCCACCTTATTACTACTAGTTGTAAAGAGACACGAGAAATAACTTGCATTGACTTGTTTTCAGGAGTGCCGGCTTTTATTACGCAAGATTAATTAATTCAGCATAAAACTTTATTTATAAACAAATCCCCTCTCAAAACAGCATGGGCTATAGAAATATATATTTGATTATCACAATATCCTATATACCTGTGTGGATAACTATTTTCTATTTCGACGTATTAATATAAGATATTCTACAACCTTCATCAATCTTTCATGTATTGCTTTTATTAACTTTCCTATTCTTTCAACTTTGGCGTTAACTCCAGTATTTTTTTATTTCTTCTACCCAGAGATCTTTGCTTAAATATTGCTTCCTTTCAACGACCTCCGCCCCGATCACCTCCCTACCTGGTAGGGGACCAAATATGATTAGGGTCTCCGGCAATGCTTTGTGACTCTCTCTAACTTATCGACATTTGTTTATTTTTCTACCTATATACATTACAATTTAAACTAAGCACAACTGACTATTAAAAGATGAAAAACTCTCGTGGATTTTGACGTCCTTCTTTTTTCTCCCAAATACGTGAATTTTTTCTCGCGCGAAATCTCGAAAAAAGCACTATAATAAAATTCACTATTTTTCATCCATAATGTTGTTAAAATTCTTCTAATTTTTAACAAGAAAATTTCAAGTTCATGTTAAAAATTATCGCAAAATATTATTGATTTATTTAAGATAGAATGATTTGTTATAATAATAGATCATATGTCGTATGTCGTAAAGCCAAGAGAATTAAAACTCATTTGGTATTTTACCCTGAGCAATCATAATTTACCGTATGTTGCAGTGCATCTTGTCAAAATATATATATATAAAAATATATACTATATATATATATATATATATATATATAGACAGAATAAGAAACACAACTAAAACATATACTATATATATATATATATATATATATATATATATATATATATATATATATATGTGTGTGTGTGAAAATATATAGAAAATAGGAAGGAACTGGTTAGGTAAATAGTCCAAAGTTCCTTAGTATTTTTGTTATTATTTTTAAAAAAAATAGTGCTCGATACAAAAGTAGGGCATAAATATAATTATTTATTTAAAAATAAAATAAATAAATAAATCTCCATAGACGAGCCAACTTGACGAAAGCTTAATACATCTTCGTTTCATTTTTTGATACCCTCACCTTCCCCGACTTGACACCTTGAAAGTATCCCCCATACCGCCACTCATCATTAACACCCTACACTCGCCTACCCATTTTAGACAATTTGCCCTAGCTGTTACCATGGTGATTTTGATTTCAACTTTTAAAACAAGTAAATTTCAGATATACGTTATTCCAACAAAAAATTCGCTTGAAGATGGAACGGAGCCCTTTTTAATTTCAACTCAATTTAATTTAAAGGATTATATTGAAGTTTTCGGCTCTTGTTTTGAAACATGAGACCTCTTATGTAGCGATTTGGAATCATATTTTAAATAAATAATATATATATATATATATATATATATATATATATGTGTGTGTGTGTGTGTGTGTGTGTGTGTGTGTGTGTGTGTGTGTGTGTGTGTGTATATAAATATAAATAAATATATATATGTATAATTATTTATATATTATATGCGCGGTACTTATTAGAAAGCGCTCAAAAGCGTGAAACCCAGGGTCACAAACTCACATCTATCCAACCAAAATATATATATATATATATATATATATATATATATATAGAATATCTTCATTCATTTATTTATTTTTATTCATTATACTCTTTACATTTACTTGTAATATTAAAATTGGTGTAATCGTAAGGAAACTTGTCTCGCTACAACAATTACGACTAAGTAGTGAGTTCGGCCCTCAATGAGTGCCCCATACTTTAGGCCTTGTGTCACATCTAAATTACACTTAATATTGCAGTTGATAAATCAATTTGCAAGTATTTCTTTACACAATTTACATGTTACTCTTTGTTATGTTTACATAAAGGGGGTAGTTTTTATTGCTTTCATGCCTTTAGCTAATGTTCTTAATATTCTGCATCTTTTCTCTCTCTTTACATTTGCAACTTCTATAGACATTTTCTCGTTGCTCTAATATTTGCTTTAGCAAGATTCGTCACTCAAGCTTTATACTGCCCACAGAAAATCAGGAAGCGAGGGATTGTCAGTGGTCAGGAATTACTGCAAGTATTACTAGCTGAATGGAGTTATAATGGTAATGAACTGGTGATGATTTTACTGCAGAAATGCGTAGATAATTAAAAAGACCGGAATTGTTTGTAGTTAGGAATTGGTTCAAGTTTTACCGATACAATAGGGGCGATTATATGTATAATGAAAATGTATTGCTGATGGTTTTTGACTATAGGAATGAATTTCAAATCATGAAGAAAGGGATTGTCAGTGGTCAGGAATTATTGCAAATATTACTGATGAACAGAATAGCATATACATATATAATGTAAATGCATTGCTGACGGATAACAATTTAAATACATCATCTCAGAATTCGCATAATTACGAGTTAGAAAAAATACGGAACAGATAGATAGATAGATAGATAGATAGATAGATAGATAGATAGATAGATAGATAGAAAGAAAGAAACTAGATAGATTATAAGAAGAAATTAAAAGAGATAGATCAATGGGTAGATAGATTATATGAAGAGACATAAATAGATAGATTGATAGATATGAAGAAACTGAGATAGATAGATAGATAGATAGATAGATAGATAGATAGATAGATTATATGAAGAGACTAAAATAGAAAAGGTTAAATTCAACACCTGTTCAGTTAGTTTTTAGTATAGGCGGAATCATTCATATACCCACCCAATTCCAACATACGATTCAAGGTTGGATTTTCCTGTGGGTCATCCAAAAAGAACTGTTCGTCACTATAACTGTCGATCTAATGCAATAGAAGAAAATTAACGGCTGCTGAGAGGCTCTGGGCGTGTTGTCAAAGATGTTTTTTTTTTTTTTTTTTTTGCTTTTCAACTAAAAATTGGTAAATTACTAGTAAATTTCAAGGAGACAATTTATATAATGTCAAAGACGTTGCACTAAATGTCATAAATGTCAAGCCGCAACTGGTTAGATTAGTTTATCTTGAAAGTGCGTCAGGAAAAATTTCAACAAAGTCTTAGGACACGGAGATATAAAATACAAAGTTGCAACAAGGTTGTTTTGATGTTGTTAGTTGCTACCCGTCAGGTATTTTCGCAATCATGATTATTAAAAGGTGCAATGAAGTGGAATTCATAGTTATTTAAATTACAGTAAGAATAAAGATATCTGACGGTAAATGTTTTTTTTTTATCGATTATTTATTATTATGAAACATTAATTAGAAATTAGACATATTTCGTAAAATACATCTATTAGATGCTTTGGTAGACATCATAAGTGATGTTTCTAGCCGAGGTTCATTAGGGGTCTCTGGTCTTTCAACATCAGACCCCCTCTTCGCCGTAACCCAGCCGATACTGATCGGGTATCGACTTATGTACCTTCCGTTAGCTACAGTTTTTTTTCCATCTTCCCCACAACACATTGCGACTCCCCACGGAAATTTATAGTCCAATCCCGAATAACTTCCGGTTCGCCAGCAATAAAAGAGGAAGTAAAATGACACATAATGATTGAAATGATACATCGATTCTATCTACAGAAAGAATTTTTATAACTTAACTTAAACCTATTTTCTGTAACGTATATCTAAATTCTATAATTCTATATCTAGATTCTATAACCTAATTTAAAACTAAATGATTTTTTTAAGCAAGGCGGGATGCCACTAGTATGCAGGGGTTACAGAGTGAGAAGGCCTGAAGTAAAAGTAGCAGACGGTCATCGACTGTGACGAGGGGAGAAAGAAACTGGCGCAGCCTACAACGTAATGTAGCCTCAGAGTTGCCCACCGGAGGTGAATACAGGGACACTCTTCCATGCGCGACGTGGCACTACAGGTACCCAGATATTATACAGCTGTTGATCAGAGCGGCCGCTCAAGATGCTACGCAAGAGTTAGGGCTCCTAACTACCAGTTGGGAACAGCAACCAGGAAACTGTCAACCCAGTACTCTCAGAATGAGGAGGTATTGCCACAGACTACGCACAACACAGGGGGATCACGGCAGTACTAGTACTGAGACCACAGGGAAGAGTTTCTAGAACCCCTTCTTAAACAAGAAACAAGGGGTGAGCCTCTACTCCTGATCAAGAGAAGGGGAAGAGTATTGACCGGGCGGTAGGAAAGCCTACGAATTGCATATGAGGTGTCGCTGAAAAGTTCCCACCGCGATCCACTTCCCAAAATCAGTATTTTGACGTTTACCCATTAAAAATAAGGAAATTGTTCTGATGAACTTTCCTGTATGGTACATAGGCTTTATGAAATTAAGCGCATTACTAGAGTGGCAGAAACATCTCATCATCTTTCAATGGGGATGTTTAGATGTAACCGTAAGTTCTATGCTAAGATTTTTTTTTTTCTCTTACTTCTCACAATACTAGATTGGCAGTAAGGTCTCATCATTTACACACACACATAAAACATTATATATATATATATATATATATATATATATATATATATATATATATATATATATATATATATAAAATTTATTAAATCAAAGAAATGAAATAACGGTTTTTTGCAGAAACCACCAAATATTGGCCTTAAATAATTAACATTTTATAAATGGATAAAGAAATAATAATTTCCACAATACCATATAAAAATTACGAAATATCATATAAAATCTATTAACAAATTCAATTAAAACAATAGGTTTAAGAAATCATCGACAAAAAAACAAATAAATAAACACCAAAAAGGACTGTAACTACAACATCAATCAGTTAGAGTTTTAGCAGATAGTAAAAAAAAAACGGAGCCTGATAAAATTAGCCATTGTAGCCAGAAAAGGCCAAACCCAACCTTACATGATTGTAGCCAAAAATTAACCCAACCTAACCTTACACGACTCCAAAAACTTGACATATAATAAACACCGTACTTTCATCAAAGCAGAGACCCCTTGATAATGAAAAACTAACCCCAGATTACACCTCCATTTCAAACTATAAATGAGTAAAACATTTCGTTGCTTAGTTATTCCAAACATCACTTGAGGATGAAACAGTCATCCAACAGTTAAGGGTTAATATTAAAATTAAATTTGAATACGGATGACCAGTTTCGAAACATAGTAATTTCTTTGTTGGGATGGAATCATATTTTTAAAAAATAATTATAATTTAGGCTCTACTTCTGTATCGTGCACTGTTATTTTTTAAATAAAAACAAAAATACTAAAGAACTTTGGATCATCGACCTAACAGTTCTTTTCTATTATATCAACACACACACACACGCACGCACACACACACACACACACACACACACACATACACATATATATATATGAATTTTAAGATGAATTCTGATCGTTTATTTAGTAGTTTGTTTTGGTCTGGGAAGGTTATAATAGCTATTTTTGTAACTGATGTTCTTTTCCTAATATCAGCCTACAACAATCAATCTAAAAACTGCACTCTGCTTGGAGGAAAAAACAATAAAAAAAAATTATATGGTTCAACACCCACTGTCAAATATTAATATCGGGCAGCACTTTCTAAAATTAATAAATAAACACTTTCAATAAAATAACCCTCTAAGTAAGATTTTCAATAGGAAAACAATTAAGATTAGCTACTCCTTTACCAAAAACATGTATAAAATTATTAATTCACACAATAATCATATTTTAAGAAATTTCTATGGGACAAACAACAAACCTGTTTTGAACCCTCCTGTAATTGTAGATATAAAGAAAATTGTCCAGTAGAGGGCAAATGCAGATCTACCACGGTTATATGTCAAGCGGTCATTTCCCCCAAATAAAATATGAAAAATTATAATGTTTACATTGGAATTTCTTCGGAGGAATGGAAACAAAGATTTTATACTCATAGGCATTCATTTTCTAACCGTAAACTAAATCACCAGACAGCTCTTTCAAAAAAAAAAAATGAGAATTGAAGGAGAAAGGTTTGAGCCTACAGATAGTTTGGAAGATTATAGGTTTCGCACGTACTCCTAATAGTCTTAGGTGTGACTTATATTTAGATGAATAAATTAGAATAATAAAATACAATAATCAAAAATAACTATTGAATCAAAGGAATGAATTAGTGTTAAAATGTTGACATAAAAACAAATTCAAATTTCCATAATATAATTATCTACAATATTTCCATAATATTCACTCCCCTCTAATTCTTCTAATGTCGAATATATAATTCATTCTAATTTCTTTATTCCCCTTCTATAATCTCTTTACACTATATTAATTATAACTTATAAACTTTTCCCTACTCTCCCCAACTGTCTTTCCATTAATCCATTACATCTTTTTATCTATATATTTTAAAGTTATTTTTAAACCCCTTTTTATTCATGTTTTAATTCTAAATTAATATTTCATTCTTCATATAATCCCAAATAAATATCATAATGTTAATATTCGCTTTTAATTTTATAAAATTTCTTTTTCACTTTAAGAAAAATACCTTCCACCCTCCACTGACCCTTGTCTCGTGCCTTTCCTCTAAATGAAACACTGAAATAGATAAATTATGTATTTGTTTTTCGATTGGTTGTTTTTAGTTATTTATTTATTTTTAGCTTTAACAGTTAAATTTCTATTTCGAACTCGGTCCACAGCGAGGTTGATAAGACAGACGACCGATATTTTCGTCTGCCGGAATAGGCTATTCCCCATATGAGATGATTTTGGATTTTATTGTTAAATATATATATATATATATATATATATATATATATATATATATATATACGTTTTACCAGTTCGTGACTGGAAGGGATAATTCAAGGAGAATATAAATCCAGGGTGAGCTCAATGTAGACTACAGAACATTATAATGTTAATAAGTCAATGTCAATCGTTATCTTCTGTCTTCTTAATTCCTGTTCTTTTATTGTTTTCTCTCTTCTTTAATGTTTTTTATTAATTTTTTTTTCCTTTTTCTTGTGTTTTTTCACACTCAGTAACTGACCCCCATCCCTACCCTGCATCTTAGCAGCTTCGTTGTCTTGCTTAGAGTGAAATGATTTTAATAAAACACAGACTTTTAGAAGCAGGTCGAAACGAGAAATTTTCTCTATCCCATCAAATCCCAAAAAAAGAAACCCAAATGAAATCGGTTAGACTATATAGCCAAACATACAGGGTTATTCAAAAAGAATGAACCGGTTTCATTACGCAATATTTTAATAAGGAAATGTAATAGAAAACTCCACCCAAGTCATAAGTATTCTACACACAATCAACTTTTATTTCCTGTTTTACAAGGGTTCAATATGGCCACCACCTGCTGCACGGGCATATAAAAAGAATTCTCTTCGAAAAGTACACTGCGCCGTGACAACTGTATTTGTTTTCGAGAACGCAGAACACCTTTTGCTGAGGACTCACCATTTTGGGGTTAAACAAACAACTGAACGTTATTAGAGATACGACGCGACGACAGCACACCTGTGGCAGCCATTCAAAAATTAGAAAACTTCTCTTTCAAAGGGTCACCGACTCATTCCATAACAATACTTGAGATCTGAAGCAATACGCCATGAAATCGGTTCATTCTTTTTTTCAATAATCCTGTATTTAAAAAAAAAATCTAAAATTCTCAGTGTCCTCTTTCCTTTGAGCACGTGTCGTTTCATCACTTTATAAAATTATAAAGGACGAAACGCGACATACGAAAACTTTTTCACTTTGTCATAGATTTATCTTATCTTATATATTTTATATATATATATATATATATATATATATATATATATATATATAATTTTATTATAAAAGATTATAATAAAAA